TGATATAATCCGATCCAAATTAAATTACTTGTTTCATTGGATGGGCATTTATTTATATTATATAGGGTGTGTTTAGTTCATGGGATTAGACAAGAAATAGAATGAAAGTTATACACGCTATTTGATTGACAACTTTTTATAACACAGGTATAAGATTTGTTTACCCGGCCCCTATAATTTTCTATTAATTAAGCTTTAATTTATCACTCCTCATTTCATCGCCTTGTCACTCATCTCTCCTCCATTCATCGACTTCCTTACTACATTGCCTACCCACCACATCGTCACTCTTAAGATCAATTGTCTTGCTTATTTTATTTTTGTATTTTTAAAATCTTTATTCTGATTATGAGATCATACATAACCAAGCATCAATATTAGCAATCATTTCAATTCCACCTTACTACCAAACATGCAAAATATTTCAACCAAAACTCATTCCAATTACCAAGTATTTGATTCTCATTTCAATTCGGATTCCCTTGTTTGAACCAAACAAACCCTAAGTTTTCCAGAGTTCACAAGCAAAAATAAAAATATATATGACGTATATCATCTTCAATTAATATTCAAAGTTGCATTGCTATCCAAATCCAAATAAATTTTAAAGTAGTATACTATATCCATCTATCATCATGACTTTCTCCAAATCTAAAGGTTATATGTATGTTCGATTTCTCTATCAACTTAGTGAAGGTACACTCAGCCTACTCTGGTGAACAAATCGAATAAATGAAAAATTTTGAAGTTACAAGCATTCTGGTGTATTTATTAATAATGAAAATAAGTGACATTTATCACATTTACGTTTTGATCCATGTTTTAAATAAAGGTCTTGTTTAACAATCAGATGTAACATATAGCTGATAGCTAATAGCTAGCAAATTGTATTTAGTTATTTTCATAAGTTTGTAGTATTAATTGATTTATAGAGTCTTCGTCATTATAGTGGCGTGCTCACCATTTGCTAAGGCAATTCACTATTTTTCAATTAAAGGCTCATTTTTAATGGTTTGAAACTAACTTTGGTCAAATTTGTAAAATAATAAATACGGAGTAAATAAATAGTTGATTTGACATTTGATAAATGTGTACTTATTAATTTTTGAGAGGAACGTGTACTTATTATTATTACTAGTTTTTTACGCGCATTGCGCGATTGAGATAATGTATAATGTTTTTTTTTTAATAAGTACTTTAAGGTATATCAATGTAAGATTATATTGGAATTGTTCATGCATAAATAATTGAATGTTAAATTTGTGTATTTAAATAGACAATTTTAAGTTTACAAATGCAAGATAATATAGTCAAGATTGATTATAATTGTCAATAAAATAATTGTATAGGTATGGTTGAAATCAAATACGGGACATAAGGGACAGCAAATAAAAATTAGGGCATAAAATATTAAATATGTACTAATATTCTTCCAAAAGGCTGAACCCCAACCCTAAGGGCCCCCCACACCCCGACCCGACAGAGCAAAACCACAAAGGCTAGACCGGTGCTCACTGCGCACAAGGAACCCCCCTCACTTTGAGAGGTTGCTCCCACACTGCCGCTGGTGAAACTTAATCCCTGGTCATTCTTCCAAAGTTTCACCTCTATGACCAGTTGAGCTGCCCATACGGGTAAATATATACTAATATTGAAGAGCTAACTGTTGATTGTCAAACAAGGACACTTCAATTTGTTGTGTGATTTGAATACTCTTTTTGTCAATAAATCGCCCAAGTAGTTAATATGATTGGCTTAATTATATTTTTTTATTTTTAAAAACACTTATTATTATTATTATTATTATTATTATTATTACTATTATTATTATTATTATTATTATTATTATTATTATACCCTTAGGTCATTTTACATGTTAATCTAAACGGTTAATTTTTTCAAATATCTTTTTACCAACCGTTGATATAATTCGCTGGTCAAATCCGCTAACGCTAACCGCTAACTGCTGATTGCCAAAAAAGACATTGCGAGGTAATTCTCACTTCAATTTGTTGTGTGATTTGAATACTCTCTTTGTCAACAAATCCTTCAAGTAGTTAATATGATTGACTTTATTAATTATAATTTTTTAATTTTTTCATGGTATTAATAAAATACTTGGTAAATAAATATATAGCATTATTTTGTATTTTAACTTTGATAGTTAATTAAAAAATAGTGCACAAAAAAGATAATAGACAATGTAGTGAATATAATCAATTGATGAATTTGAATGTAAAGAATTTGTACATTGGAGAAATATAAAGACAATATAACTAATAAAATTATTTCTCTTAATTAATTTATTGATAATGAATATTTTTTTTTAATAAAGACATTGTAGGGACAATGTAGTTAATATAATCAATTGATAAATTTGAATGTAAAGAATTTTGATATTTGAGAAAAATAAAGATAATATAACTAATGAAATTATTTCTCTTATTTAATTTATTGATAATGAATAATTTTTTTTTGAATAAAGACATTGTAGACACATAATTCTAGAAATGTATATGTATTATTTTTTGTTGTAGCTACTAAATTATTATTTCTACAATTTTAATAAGAGCCAATAATGTTAGGCCCTTAACTGGAACAAAAAAAATGTCGGTCCTATTGTTTCTTAAAATGAATGGTTCATATTATACTATTGTTTCTTAAAATGAATGGTTAATATTATTTTTATTTTAATATTTTTTATTGATTTTCCTTATTTACCCTCTATTATATTATTTTCTTCCCTTAAATAACCTAAATTCCGTTAGCATCAACTTTAGTAACGGAATATTCCGTTAACTATTTATTATTTTAACTTACACATTAATTTCTATAAGAAAAGTCTTAGTTTCGAACGACATCACAATTAGAGTTGGCATAATTGTTAAACATATACTACGAATATGTTTTATTCAAAATATATATAATATAAAATTTAACATAAACTTTGTTCAAATAATTAGTCTGACTAAATATATAACACTCAAAGTTAAGCATCAAAGATTATAAATCAATAACTTTAAAAATCATTTGATTTTTATGCATTTAAAAAAAAACATATTTAGGTTAAGTTTTTTGTTTTTTTGTTTTTTTTTTTTGGTTTAATTAATCTTCTTTTGATTATTTAGATCAGAAAAAAACTTAATATTTCAATTATACTTTTGCATTATTGGTATGCTTTAGGTCGTTATGGTATTAATATTTTTTTGTATGTATTTTATAATGGTACAATTATTGTACATTACTTTACAAATATTATACTATTATTTTTTTATCGGACAAAATTGTTCTTACATCATTGTCAGGCCTGCACGACCTAACTACAAAATTGTTGATCATAAATACAGTTACACCTGGACTCTAAAACGGTAAGATCATTTTCTAACGAATGACAATGCTGACATCCCGCTGGCTCTAATTGAACAAGTTTAGACATCAGAATTTTATCAATGTATGAAATTTCTAAAGAAATTTGTAAGTTAATTTTTACTATATTATTATAACAACAATATCTATTGTAACTATATATTTTGAATTATTTATTATATCCTATATTGACAGGAATTGTAACAATTGTCATTGCCACACTCTCAAAACAATTTGTCTCAACAACGAATGTAAATTAAAAAAAAAAAAGCAATGATTGCGTTATTGTTGATGAAAAGTATGTACGCCACTTTATTATTCTTATTAAACTAAATAAAGTATTAGCTACAACAAAAAATAATACATATGCATTTAATTAATTTAGAATTAGATGTCTATAATGCCTTTATTTAAAAAAAAAAATTATTCATTATAAAAAAATTAAAAATAGATATAATTTCATTAGTTATATTATCTTTATTTTCTACAATTCAAAAATTCATTACCTTCAAATTTATTAATTTATTATATTCACTGCATTGTCCATTGTTTTCTTTTTACATTATCTTGTAATTAAATATCAAAGTTATAATACAAAATACATTATATATATTTATTTACCAAGTATTTTATACAAATATAATAAATATTAATATTTTGTTCAATAATTTTACATGATAACCTACGACACACATCTCACAATGCATAAACATGTATGGGAAAACTACCACTACCAAATGTCGATTAGAAAATTCAATAAATATTATCTTGCATTTATATATTTTGAATTACCGATTTAAATAAACAAATTCAATATTTATTTACATATGCATGAACATCTCCGATATAATATTGCGTTGATAGACTTTGAAATACTTATTTAAAAATAATCATTGGGCATTATCTAATTCGCGCAAAGCGCGTAAAAAAACTAGTAATTTAATAAGAGTAAAATAGAGTACTAATTATGCCAACTTTGATTGGGATGTGGTTCGAACCTGAGACCTTTCTTATTGAAATCGATGAGTAAGTTAATAGTGAACTAACAGAAGTTAACCGAAAAGATAATATTTAACGGAAAAGTTAACGGATAATCATATTCATTAAGGATAAATTAAGAAATCTTAAGGAAAAATTAAATTTGATCAATATGAGCCATTCATTTAATTAAAAAATTTGACCACCATTTTTTCTACTCATTATAAGCCTAACTCTTTTGGACTCTTATTAGTATAGTAGATTATTATTACTATTATTATTAAACCATTCTTCTAAAAGGTTAAAACCTAATTAAACCATTCTTCTAAAAGGTTAAAACCTTAATCCTAAGAGTCCCACACTCGATTCAACAGAGCATTTGGGAGGGTATTATTATTAAACCATATTTTGCCCATAACCAGTTAAGTTCCTTGAATCCTTGGCGTGCATATACCTCCCGCCCTCCTGGCCTATTCCGGCCCTAAATCAACCGACCTATATCCTAGGCGTGAATCCTTACCCCATACTTTAAGTGGGAGCCCCACATTTGGTTTGAACTACGGTGAATTATAACCCTATTTAAATGCTCTTTCGGAATGAGACGTGGAGATTCAACCTTTTTGAGGAAGAAAAAAAATAAAAATCGGGAGTATTCCACAATCCACAATCATAAATAGCGTACACTGCACGTTCTTATTGCTAATTGAACAAAGCTTCAGAACATTAAATTTCGCTGCCTTAGCTTACTGAAAAGAAAATGTATACAGGTAGCAGAACCCTCTGTTTCTTTATAATTTTATTCTTCCACTCTTTTTATTTTCGTGCTTGTCAGGCAGATGTGGGAACTGCAGCTCACTATAGCCCTCCCTACTCGCGTAAGTAATCATTCTTCAATAATTCCCCTATTATTATTGCTGTTGTTGTGGTCGTGCTCATCGTTGTAACCACGCACGCAAACTTAAATATTTAGAGCAGTTTGAATGAACATGACAAATGATTGAAGATTGAAATTTTAGAAGAATCAATAATCTGTCAAAATAAAAAACTCATTCAAACTAAGTTGAATCAGGGATGAGGATGATGAGATCGAAATTTTATATATATATATATATGCAGCAACGACGTGTTTCGGGAGCGATCCGACACAGTTTCCGTCGAGCAATTTGTTCGCGGCGGCGGGAGATGGGATATGGGACAATGGAGCTTCGTGTGGAAGGCAATACTTGGTGGGGTGTATAAGTTCCATAACGCCCGGAGCTTGCGTCAAGAACCAAACTATACAGATCAAGATCGTTGACTACGCGCCGGGTGTGGTGTCCACGCCGTCTTCGTCCGGCACCACCATTGTTTTGTCCGATGAGGCCTTCGGACTTATTGCGGATGCTCTCGCTGATTCTATCAACATTGAGTTTCAACAGTATGTATCGCTCACCTTTTTTGAATGCTTTTTTTTTTTTTTTTTTTTTTTTTTAATAATAAAATGTTGGCGTAAAAAAGAATATAGCTTGACTCGGTGCCGAGTGTTGGTGATAATGAACCAAAAATCAATTAAATATTCTAAAAATAATATTTATATATACACACAAAAATATATAAAATATTATTTGATATATATACGAAATATATATATATACACACAAATATATATAAATCGGACACAAATTAAAGGTTATATATACATATATATCTACTGAAAAGATATACAAATATATATCAACCAAAAATTGGAATTTATAACCCCCTGATTATAATTCCAATCCAACGACTAAAACAAATATAGAGAGAGGATTTTTGCTTAGAAGCATAATCCAAACCGAAAGAAGAAAAAGATGGCTCGTGTTTGGGTATAGCGTTTTTAGCACTAGTCAAGCAAGACACTCAGTTTTCCTTAAAACCTTATTTGCCACCTCCCAAAAGTGCTAGAAGCGTTGTGGCCTAGGTTTCCCAGGATAAAACGTGCTACGGTTCGACGTTTGAACCCAGCAAACTAGAGCAAAGCCTTGAACACAGTTAGGCAAAGAAAGGAGTAGGAGTAGATTATTTTGGAGCTAAAACCGTGCAAGTGTGTATGTATTCTTATTGTTCTTGTCTGAAAATCCTGGGGCACACAAGCTTAGGCTCAAAGCAAGTAGGGGTGAGCAAATTGTCGGTTAACCGCCCGATAACCGCTAACCGATAACTGAACTGCTCGAAAAATCGGTTATCGGTCGGTTACGGTTATTAATTTAAATTTTTTTTTTTTTCGGTTTTTCGATTATTTCTCGGTTTAGGGGGTCGGTTATCGGTCGGTGACCGATAACCGACATAGTATTATATATATATATATATATATATATATATATATATATATATATATATATATATAATATTATATTTATATAATTATATCTACTTATACTATTTGTCTATTTCAATTTACATATTTATAGCCCAATGGCCCATAGCCCAGTTGCTCTAGTAGCCCATGCCCCATAAGCCTAACTTGCCTAACCCTAAATCCTTATCAGTTATCATTTATCACCTATTCACCTTCACTCATTTCAGACATTCAGATTCAATTTCAATCCTCTCCGACCTCTCCGCCTCTCGTACTCGTCTTCTCCAGAATCTCTCACTTCCTAGTCTCGTCTTCTCCAAAATCTCTCACTTCCTAGTCTCTACAAACCACGACCACGACTTCTACTCTTCCACAAGTTTCACAGACTAAAGACCACAGGTCTACACTATTCCACTCTTCCACTATTCCACAGACCACACGATTCGCTTGTTTGGTCTGTTCCACGAGGACCACGACTTCCATTGTTCCAGTTTACACGGCTACGCTACGGCTACGCCTCACGAAGTCACGAGTCAGGGACGCCAACTGCCTCACCGCCCTCACGAGTCCACTGCTGTAAACAAAATAGTATGTAACTGCAGTGTGCTTATTGAATTTAGACTTACCGACCGACCGTTTGCTAACCCCTAAAAAATCCTGGGGCACACGAGCTTAGGCTCAAAGCAAGCCTTTTCGATCTCAATTTGGGATTTGATTTGCACCACCCCCTGCGCGCGAGAGAGAGCCTCTATGCTATACATTCAGTAAGTCACTAAAAGACTCTTGAATAAATAGTGGGGCAAATCCTCTTCCCAAACCAATGTGGGACAAAAGCTCAATTTTTTCCTCCATTTTCCAACTCAATGGGTCTACTTTGAGGATCGATATCTCATTCACCCATTATCCATTTTGAGCGTACAATATATCAATCTCTTCGTCTCACTACGAAGAATCCGAATCCACTTTGACCCGACCCAAAGTGGACCTCACTGATAATTGTACCACAAAATAGCCACTTAAAGTGCTATTTTAATGCTATTTTTCCAACAATCCTCACATGAATGAAAAATTGATTTTTAGGGTATTTTGAAATCGGAAAAAACTGTGTTCAACATTCGATCCCTGCATAGGATATGTAGGGATCACTATACCCTTTGAACCTTCCCTTGTGAAGACATGTTTACTCTACTGGTTGTACGGTAGAACGCGATGTCTTTGAACCGACTGCCGTTTGTGTAGACGATGACATATCTCACACAGGAACCTCCCAACCATGCTCTGTTCTCATGAGTGTGCTCGTTTTGGTTGTGGGTCGCCGTTCCTGGTTCTGCAAGAGTTTCTAAAGAATTGTGCCCATAAATTCTCCTTTGAAGCGACCCTCACTTCTCTCTTACATAGGTGATTCTTTCTCGAGTATCCCGTATACTCACACATGTCAACCGACATTCGAATCATTAAAGCATCAACGTGCTAGCCTCGTGCGGGAGTCACTGTTTCTAACGAGGAGTGGTAGGGAGTCCGAGACCCCCACAGTGACACGCTCCGTTCCATAATTTAGTTGTCCCATTGAACCTAGGTGCCAGCTAGGTTTGGTATCCACTATAGAACTTTTAGTCCAAGGGCTTTAGACCCATTCCTCGTTCCAACTTCTCCACAGCCATTTGCTTACCCTCGGGTTAGCGAGTTAGCGGCCGCTACGTTATCTTTTGACATCACATAGTCAATAGAGATTACCCCTGTTGTGAGAAATTGTTTAATGGTATTATGTCTATGACTTATAAGTCTAGACTTACCATTCCACATCTAACTCTGTACCTAACAAATTTTGGCTTGACTATCGCAACGCACACAAAATTAGAAGTACGAGTTTACCTCTAGGAACATTCCCGAAAAATGGCATAGCCATTCGGCCTACTCGTTCGTGAAACGAGTCTAAGGCTCTCAGCTTAGATCCCGTCATGGATTTTAGTTATCACAAATCGTTTTGAGAATTTCCATAAAACCAATTGCACTGGACTACGTAAACACGTAGCCTTTTATGGACTTAGCGTCCTTTGATATCCCGTTAAGTGCTATACTTTCCAAATACAGCTAGATATCACACGTAGTACAGTCCAAAGTCACGAGCATATCTTAAGTATCTCATAACTCTCACTATTGCCTTCTAGTGCGTAACACTAGGGTTACTCGTATGTCTACCAAGTTTGTTAACCGCAAAGGCAATATCCGGCCTAGTACAACCCATTTGATACAATTAAACCACCAATAATATGAATGTATTCTCCATGAGAAGTACAATCTTCGTGATTATTGGCTAGTTGTACGTTAGTATCTAACGGTATCCAAGCCACTTGATTATCATCCTTTACAAGGATTCAATCAACACAATGAGATTGGCTTACCACGAGACCATACGGTCTTCTCACGATTCTAATCCCGAGGATTAAATCTACCAAACTCATGCCCTTCATGTCAAATATCAAATTTAACATGTTCCTGGTAGAATTGATCATTACTACCCACGATGAGTTCATCGTGTATAAACAAATAGTGATATCACCGTCTATCGTATACATTATGTAGACCCACTTGTCACTTTTATTTATACTAAACTCGTTAGTCATCATTTTATGATAAAATCTTCATGCCAAATACTAGGGCAATTGTTTCGAACCATACAATGATCTCACCAATTATGCACTTTCTTTCTATAGTGCGGAACCTCAAAATCCCTAGGTTGTTCCATGTCTATTAAGAAAGCGGTTTTACACATCTATTTGATGAACTTCCAAGTCTCGTTAAACGGCTTTGGCAAGTATCATTATAATAGATCTCATTCTCATCACAAGAGAATATATATATTGAAGTAATCGTGGCACTCGCGTCACATGTAATCTACAATTACAGGCCCGACCATTTTTACTTCAATATAACCAACCGGTTTTATCTTCCGACACGTGATCTGTTAGGATCCAAAGGTTTTACAACCCGGAGGAAGAACGACCAGTTCCAAATATAATTCTGTAAGACAAAATCTACTTCACTTTTAGTAGCCTCTTTCGTGTTGGTCAATCCGTAGAACACTTCTACATACGTTCGAGGCTCCTTTTTCTAACAACCATGTCAGAAAAATCGATTCATTTTCTAGTAAATAAGTTAGACTGTGCACATCACATTCTAACATGTACGTCAGAAAATCTGGACCAAAGGATTTTTCAATCCTAGCTCTCTTGCTACGTTTAACTTTGAGCTCGGGTTCTCTTTCATACCCTTCAACCATAGCTATGGCGAAAGTTCATTTCAACGTGCTAGGTCCTATACTGAACCTTCACAGAAATACATCTTCTAAAGAGTGATTGATTTCTTGATTCAATTCATCGTGTTCTTATGTACATTCAAACTATAGGACTCATGTACTAAGAACTAATACACACCTTTGGCAAGACAACCCCACATTTGAGGCATTACTAGGAAAACTTCCTACGTACCCACAATTCGTAAAAATTTCATGCGGGTAACCTTATTTAAAAGGTACTTACTTGTCCAAAGTATTGTCTCACCCCACATACCTTCAGGTAGACCTGAACTTATCAACGTCTTGATATTTATGTTCAGCAACAACGTTTGGTTGAGGTGCCTACCGTACCGTACGCTCGAGTACGATACCAACGCTTGCGCATAAATCACCAATAGGTGTTTAATATTCACTACATCGATCGTTCGTAACCACATTAATCCACAATTAATTTGATTTTCTCTTTTATTCTTATAAAGAATAAACCTGTGCTACACGTTAGCACATCTCGTAGGTGCGTACAGATCAACACTTACGAATCCATTCGGAATTTGACCGAAACCAAAACCACGAACCAATACTTCCGAAATTGAAGCACGAATCAGTGCTTAGGAATGAAGCATGAATCATGCTATACCAAGCACGAATCATTGCTGCCAAACTAACGGACCGATTCCAAAGCAATATTCTATTGCTTTAAATTTTAAACCCATAGCAACTTTTCATTGCTTAATTTATAATTTCAATGCTTATTAGCTGATTAAAAAAATTAGCCAAGCATCCTTTCGTTAGTGCTATCAAGCACTATCATTTCGTGCCATTAAACACTAGTATTAGTGCTTTTAAATAGCAATTAACTAGTGCTAAGTTAATTAGCAATACAGTGCTAATTTTATCTTGCACTCTCCGTTAGTGCTACGAAAGCACTATCCAACAAATCATTTTTTATCTCAAATAAATTTCATACTATTGTAATTTGGAATTTTTGATCAAGTTAATTTTAACACAATTAACAAGAACAAATCAACCAACTTTCCCGACTAGTTGAACCAAGATTATATAATCATATTCAGAATATTATTTAAAATATTCAACAATTGAGTTGTGACGCTCACGATTATATAGCTATCCCAATTTTTCGACAAATTGATTCTACTTTGAAATCTATATCGTTCAACATGAACTAGAACCGAGGTCCTTACGAGATTTCAAACCTGTAACACGCTTGTTACATTTCGTTCCGGCTGTTAAGCCATTTTAGCATTTTCCACATAATCTACTTGATGCACTAGGCATTCATATTGAATCATTTCATACATTTAACATTATTTCATAAAATAAATCGTACGTACTATGATTCAATAACTCAATGGAACAATTATATTTTTATTCAAATAAAAATATTACAAGGATACTACAATATTTATTCCACAAATAAATAAATAGGAAAATACATTGGAAACTAATTTCCATTATTCCTATCTCGTAGTAATCCTTCAAACCCGTGTGCCTTGTTCCATTTTTCAACCGTCCACTCCACGAAGGGTGGTCCATAGTGCACATCGGGGGTACCTGTTAAAGAAACCTCGGTTGTGACCTCACTCGTCCAACCATCCACATTCTTTAACCCAAGCGAAGTTATCCGCCACCTTCTCACCAGGATGACGGTTCGCTTCATAGTGGCTGCTCACTTCTTCCTCATAATTATCTTCAGGTCTAAACTTTCGTTTGCCTTTCCTTTGATTATCGTTAAAGACATTGGTCACACTACAATAGTTCTCAGACCATGTTGTGATTACACCATCACAGGATCCTTCGTGGCTTTTAGCCAATCCACTAGGCAACACAATAGGTACCAAATGTGTGCCACCAGCCACAGGTCTACTGGTTAGTGAACCGAAGTTCTTCGGAGCACCATCGTATGTTTTTGCAACTCCTATAGAAAAATCATTTCCAACGTTGCTGCCGTCAACCGGCATCACGGAATGTGCAACATTGTTGCCGTTCCGACCATTTGAATGTGCACCACAAGCAACATTCACGGCTCCAATACTCTTGGAATCCATTGACTTGTTCATTACCAAAATAAATAAGGTTTTAAGATTGTTGGTGATAATGAACCAAAAGTCGATTTAATATCCCAAAAATAATATTTATATATACACACAAAAATATATAAAATATTATTGAATATATATATATATATATATATATATATATATATATATATATATATATATATATATATATATATATATATATATATACACACACACACACACACACACACACAAATATATATAAAACAGACCCAAATGTTATACATACATATATATCAACGAAAAAGATATATAAATATATATCAACCAAAAATTGGAATTTATAACCCTCTGATTATAATTCCAATCCAACGACTAAAACAAATATAGAGAGAGGATTTTTGCTTAGAAGCATAATTCAAACCGAAAGAAGAAAAAGATGGCTCGTGTTTGGGTATAGGGTTTTTAGCACGAGTCAAGCGAGACACTCAGTTTTCCTTAAAACCTTATTTGCCACCTCCCAAAAGTGCTAGGAGCGTTGTGGCCTAGGTTTCCCAAGATAAAACGTGCTACGGTTCGACGTTTGAGCACCCAAACGAACGAACCCGGCGAACTAGAGCAAAGCCTTGAACACAGTTAGGCAAAGAAAGGAGTAGGAGCAGAGTATTTTGTAGCTAAAACTGTGCAAGTGTGTATGCTTATTGTTTTTGTTGTGCTTGTCTGAAAATCTGCTGCCCTACTTCCTTCTTATATAGGGATGATGGAGTGATATCATCATTAAGGCATTCAATATTGGTATAAAGCCAATCTTTGTAACCTCTGAAACAACAGCCCACTACTTGGAGATTAAATTCAGAATTCAAAATTGGAGTTAATATACAATTAATTCCGTAACGGATGAATTTAATCTCACAAGTGTTGTCCCTGACTTTGGAAAAATGATACCGAAAGTTGGCATAACTTATGTTTGCAAGGCCAGCCAATTTTCGGACAACATTCGTGCCCGCAAGTGCCGGCGCACACGAGCTTGGACTTGAACCAAGCCTTTTCGATCTCAGTTTGGGATTTGATTTGCACCACCCCCCTGCGCGCGAGAGAGAGCCTCTATGCTATACATTCAGTAAGTCACTAAAAGACTCTTGAATAAATAGTGGGGCAAATCCTCTTCCCAAACCAATGTGGGACAAAAGCTCAATTTTTCCCTCCATTTTCCAACTCAATGGGTCTACTTTGAGGATCGATATCTCATTCACCCATTATCCGTTTTGAGCGTACAATACATCAATCTCTTCGTCTCACTACGAAGAATCCGAATCCACTTTGACCCGACCCAAAGTGGACCTCACTGATAATTGTACCACAAAATAGCCACTTAAAGTGCCATTTTAATGCTATTTTTCCAACACCGAGTTCTTATAATCAAAAAAAAAAAAACAAAAAAAGAATATATATAGGGGTGTTTGGTAAATAACTCTTAAATGATTGAATTAGTGGGTTTGATTAGTTGATAACATTAGTTGATTGTAAAAAGATGTTTAGTAAATTAACTAATAGCTTATTACAAGCAAAATTATTTTCTCAAAAAGCTGATCGAAAAAGTCACTTAGAGTAGTTTTTTTTTTTGAAATTTATGGTTTTAGAGAAATAAGTTGTTATAAAAAAACTAATTAATCAAACATTTATATTTACTATTTATCCAAGTCAAACAACTAATAGTGATCAAATAAACTAAAATTGACTCTAATTATGTTACCAAACAGAATCATAATGTTTGTTTACAACTCATAGACTTATAGACTATATCTCTAAATTACCTTATGTAAAGATTAAATAATTGTACATTCATCACACATTGACGTATAAGTGTATAACTCACTTTGCAAAATAATAATAACAATAATGACAACAACAACAACAACAATATGTATATGAATTGGTGTTTTTTTTTTTGTTTTTTTTTTTTTTTTTTTGTTATCATTTGGTAATATGATAGCTTATATTAATTATGTTTACAATATTTAATGCAGGGTATAAACAACAAAAATATTTTGGTTTGTTGGTAGGGGTGAAGTCAGAAATTTCATTTAGTGGGGGCGATTCGCCATGTTAGCGAACAGAGCTTTCGGTAAGTGTTCGTTTATGTTCGTTTATTAAGGTAAACGAACATTAACAAATAAAATTTAGAGCTCGATTTATAAACGAACAGAATCTGAACAGTTGTAAGCTCGTTTGCTAAGAGATCGTGAACAAGCTCGTTTGTGTTCGTTTAATAATGTTCACGAACAAGCTCGTTTAGTGTTCGTATAATAATGTTCGTGAACAAGCTCGTTTGTGTTCGTTTAATATTTGTTTGTATTCACTTTGTAGTTGTGTTACTTGTTTGGTTATTTTTTATGAACATATATTATTTCTTATTCACGAACGAATTGTGATCATAAACATGTTAATATGTTTGGTTACTAAGTATTCACGAACGTGAACAAACATGTTCGTGAACGTGTTCGTTAATGTTAACAAACATGTTCGTGAACGTGTTTGTTAATGTTAACGAACACGTTCATGAACGTGTTTGTTAATGTTAACGAACACGTTCATGAACGTGTTTGCGAACGTTAACAAACACTAACGAACGTTTAACAAATGAAAACGAACATGATTTTCAAAAACCTTAACAAACGAAAACAAACACAAACACTCCAAAAACCTTAACAAACGAACACGAACAGCCTCCGTTCGTTTATGTTCGGTTCGTTAATAGCCATATAGGCGAAAGATTAAAATAAATGTGATATTTTGGAAAAAACAAAAAATCAAATAGAGAGAAATTTGACAACACATACATACTTAACCATATAAGCATTTCATCTTTGAGTAATATATATCTATATTATTTACTTATATCTAAACATTCCAATATATATATATATATATATATATATATATATATATATATATATATATATATATATATATATATATGTGTATATATATATATATGTGTATATATATATACATATATATATATATATATATATATATATATATATATATGTATATATATATACACATATATATATATATATACATATATATATATATATATATATATATATATATATATATATATATATATATATATATATATATATATATATATATATATAGTGAAAGGTTCACGTGCGGTTGAATGCTTCTCGTGCGGTTGATTAATGTGCGTGAGATGTGTACCCAATGTGCATGAGTGTTGTGCTTAATGTGCCTGAGATTTGTACTTATTAATGCGCGTGAATGTGTAAAATGCAGCAGAAATATGGATGTCAGCTTCTCCCCCATCCCTAGTAGCCATTGCCCCCTCCCTGATGATCGATGATGATGCGGAGGCGGGCTATGGTGGTTAAGAATTATGGGAATGATACAACAGAAATCCACACATAGCTGGTGTGCAAATTTTGCTATGCGTGCGTCATCTATATAAACATTCAACTGCACTGAAGGTAGCTGATAATCCAGACTCCAGGGCCAAATTGAAGGAAGAAGTAACAAGAAGCTTGGGCGTTAATGTGCGTGAGTTTTCTGTTCTGCTTCCTTCTGAGCTCGTAATTCTGAACTACTCACGCACATTAAACACAAATCTCACGCATATTAAGCACAATACTCAGGCACATTAAGTACAAAACTCACGCATATTAACATTACGCACATTATATACAAATCTCAGGCACATTAAGAACAACACTCACGCACATTAAGTATAAACCTCACGCACATTAATCCACCGCACAACCGCATGGGAAGCCACAAATGCACCTGATCCCTTCCCTATATATATATATATATATATATATATATATATATATATATATATATATATATATATATATATATATGTATATATGTATATATATTTGAAAGCAATCAACGAAGCAATATTATTACTGCAGGTACATCATAATAAAGTCTAGCGGGACAGATTCCCAAACAAAAGTATTTGCCTGTGACGAGGCGTACGAAGCTAAAGAGTGAGCAACAATATTTAAACGTCTAGAAATTGAAAGTATAATGCAATAAGTAAAGGAAGCCATAGTAGCTTTGCGGTAATCAATCACAACACCAACATAGGCTCTGGGAGAAGCAGACATGATTCGCAAATAACTCTGTAGGACCGAGCAATCCGCAAAAATAGTAACACTTGTGACCTCTCTCCCCTTAAGCCAGGACAAAATTTCTTTGCAAGCTAATGCCTCAGCTATAAACGCGTTCTCGCAATATTGAAGCTTCCCACACACCGCCGCCACAAAGCCACCATCTTCTGTTAATAGGGTTGCCCCGTACGCCGCTGCACCCGTCTCTGGGCAGTAGGCTGCATTGAAACAGCACTGAAGCCCACCTGTTGTCTGCACGGGTTGGTTCTGCACCCTCGTCGACACTATGGTATTCTCGGTCGATTTCCAGGCGGTCACAGTCGCCATGGTTATTCTCCACGTTCCCCTCGGTGGCCACATACACATGTCCCACACCGCCGAATTTTGGGCATTCCAAATTTGATACAGCACTGCAATCATGTGTACAAGAACATCCTGTGTTAATACACACATAGCATTTGGAAACCATTCTGAAAACGAAGCCCCATGCACACAAGAAACAGGGAGATGGGATTCATTCCACACAAGGATTGCATATTCACACTCAATGAGCGAGTGCATAACATCCTCGGGCATCAAAGCACACATGGAACAGGTTGGGCTTATTTCGACCCTCTTTACAATAAGGGAAGTCGTAGTCGGTAGAATATTGTAAATTGCTCTCCATAAAAAAAGTTTCCATCTCGAGGGGACCTTTATTTTCCACAATGCAGACCACTTCGTAAAAGCCGAAGAATTCGTAATTTCCCCAACAATGCATCTATAAGCACTCTTAACCGAGTAAGTACTATTCGGCTCCCTATACCAATACCAAGTGTCTTCATACGATGTGCAAATCGGGATATATATATATATATATATATATATATATATATATATATATGTATGTATGTATGTATGTATATGTTGAGCTGATATAAGAGTTTGTTAGAGGAGTTTTCTAGATGATTCTATTATAATTTAGCTTGGCTATATAAAATCCTTTTTCTTTTCTTCTCCCATAAAATCTTGTTTCTTTGTCTTTACAAGTGAGTTGGTTTTCATCTTGTAACTCAAACTTTTACATTCAAGTTCAATCACTGTAATTCAAGTTTCTAAATTATTCCTACATGAATAAATATTTTTTTAAAAAAGTTTCTTGTGTGATTGATATTTTCTTTTTTCTCGGTAATGAATAAGAAGGGGGTAAATGAGAGAAAATAATTTGGTTTGATGGCACACTACAAAAAGTTGGATATTCAGCAACAAACATTTAGCAGCAGTAACCGCCACTAAATATTTATTTAGTGGTTGTTGCAACAACCACTACTATTTTTGCCCTGAAACATCACTTGTGAAATGTTAGTGGCAAATGCTGATGGTTTATCACGATTTTTTAATTAATTTTTGTGGCTATTAGACACCCTTATTCTTCCGTTGTTAGCCGCTCTATAAAAATTCTTTTTTTCTAGTTTCTTCTCCCAACTCACTCTTCTCAACCTAATTCTCTTCCGCCAGCCTCTCACGTCTAAATCTTCATTGGTTTTTGATATATAAAGAAGTAATAGCCATTGAGTCATTCATTCAAAGGAAGAAGAGGAGAGGGAGGGAGAGATGAAGGCTTCAAGACCTAGCAAGAAGAACGAAAATAGAGAAAAATTTATGGATGGCGACAATGAACAGGAAGTACAATCAACGGTTACAATTGGTTTTCAATCTAAAGCTTCAAAGCTCAATAACTCAAGTCATCGTTCTTCACTCGTAACACTTCCTCCAAGTAGGATTTCATCAAGGTCCTATTTTCTCTCTTTGTATGTGTGTTCATTTATCTTCCATACAATTGGTTATGATTTCAATTATCTTCCCATGAACTTTGTGAATTATGGATCTATTTTGGGTGTAGCATGTTGTGTTAACAACTTTAGCCCAAAATCGGCAATTTGGAAAGTGAAATCATTGACCTTGCGGCTTTCTTGAGTGTGCGATTTGTTCTTTCAGCGATTCCATTCTATTGAGGTGTCCTTACTACGGATAGTTGATGAAGAATACGATTCTAACCACAAAAATTCTTAATGACTTGATTCACGAACTCGCTTTCCTGATCTGACCTGATCTTGACAATAGATGAACCTTTCTCATTCTGAAGTTGCTTCAACACTTCGAGAAGTAACTTTAGGTTTCATTCTTCTTCTTGAGAAATAGAGTCCATGTATACCTAGTGTAGTCATCTACTACCACAAAAGTATATTTCCTCATACTTAAACTTACCGGATCAACTAGTCCAAACAAATCCATGTGGAGTAGACTCAAAGGTCTAATAGATGATTCCACGGATTTAGACTTAAACGAAGATTTAATTTGCTTCCCCTTTTTACAGGCTTCACAAATCTTATCTTTGTTGAAAGTCATGTTTGATAAACCTTCTATTAGTTGCTTTCTATCTGATCTATTACTTTGAAATTGAGATGGTTGAGTTTGTTGTGCCACTCTCAACTTAAATATGACTTTCCTTTTGCTACCAAACAAACGTTTGATTTTACTAAATTCTAGTCCACAACATACATGATATTTCTCCTCCTTGCTAAAAGAACAATTTCCATTGTCTCTTCGTTGATCACAAAGCAATTACTCTTCAAAAATTCAACTATGTAACTTTACGGTTTCATTCTATTAGTGCTTAGTAGATTAAACTTCAATCCTTCTACATAAGACATGTCATTTATACTCAATCCATTTTTAGTGACTTCTCCTAATCCCTTGGCTTGACCATTTGCTTCATTCCCACAAAAAACAACCTTTTGACCATTGACTGTTCAGAAGTTGACTAGATTTGACTTGTCGTCGATCATATGCCTCGAACATCCGCTATCATTAGGGATGGCAATGTAGAAGGACGGGGGCGGGAAATATACTCCCCGTCAACATCGCCATGACCCTATCCCTGTCCTCATCCCCGACGGGAAATTGAAAATAGTCCTCATCATCGTCTCCACGAGAAATTAGGCGGGGACGGGAATTCCCCATCCCTGGTTAACTCCTAGTCAAATTGTTAAATTAATATAATTTTTAATTAAAAAATTTAAAACCTAAAGTCTTAACTTCAAAAATTAAAATACTTGACTGTATATATATATATATATATATATATATATAATAATAATAATAATAATAATAATAATAATAATAATAATAATAATAATAATAATAATAATTCAGGGACGGGGTGGGGCGAGGAGGGGTATCCCAGTCCCCGATGGGGAAATACACA